TTGATTGATTGATTGATCGGTCGTAAAGAAAATAATCTATCAATGATCTCAAAAAGGTTTTTCGTTGTTTTTATTTTTATAAAGTATATAAAATTATAAAGACAGAAGCCAATCGTATGCATTTAGAGCCGGAAAGAGATTTAGTCTGTTGATTTAATTGAGTCCTCGGGTTTGAGTCATTTCTCTTTACATTCTGTGACGTGAAGAACGAACGACTCAAGAACCTGAAGACTCGATAGGTAAACTAATCATGGCTCCTTTTGGCTCAGACTGTGCACATTGATTAAGATTATATGTGACTGTCAGTGTAACGTGAACGAACCACTGAAATTTGAAGACATGAAGAGGTGAGCTGAGCAAACAGACAACAATACCTTCCTAGACAAAAGAGCAGGTCAACATTGAATTATTTTGTTCTCCTTCTTATAGTATTGTATTTATGACTTATTTGTCATGTGATCAACCTTTTGGGCTATTTGTAGATGTGTTTGGAAGCAATTCGTAACATTTTAATAATATTTTGGCAAATTGAACCAAACGTACGAAATGACTTGAAAAAAGATTCGTTCATCTCGATTAACGAGACTCAAAGATCTGAGTCAGTAAAATCCTAGTCAGAGCCGGGGGGTGCATTGGATGGCGGAGGGGTGTCGCGGAAAGTGAAGAGCGGGGGGTTGTCATGGACAAGAGTGAAGAAGGTAGAGAAGTCGCGGAAGAAAGTAAAAGTAACAGCGAACAGGGGAGGAGGGCGATTGAGGAGGGGGATCAGTAAAATGAGATCAGATTTTAGAGGTGCCGGATCCGGTATGTTCCGGCACAAATTCAGACCAGGGGCCTCATGTATTAACCCTCAAGTTTTTGTGCGTACGCCAGGTTTCAGAATCGCTCACGTTTGGATTTACTAACGATGAACTGAACGTGGGAATGTGCGCAGCTTCATGTCTGGCGTACGCACATTTTTTGTGCGTGTCTGTTTTATTTCCATTCGCGACTCCTAGAGGCAGTTGTGTTAAATTGCTCTCTACTAAGTGTCTGAGCCTTGCAATGGCAGCTGTATGAGACGGGTTCATCTAGCAGGTATATAAGGTTTCCATACCATACAGTTGACCAGCTAAACATTAAAGCACAATTTGCAGCGGTCGCCTGTTTTCCCAATGTAATCTGAGCAATCTACTGAACGCACATTGCTATAAAGACACTATCTGAAGATGAATTTGTATGCGTGAATCAGAAACATTTCCATTCAATAAATGTGCAAATAAAATATGATGCACAAACTTATTATTGATTCCTACTTGTCTTTCTCCTGATAAATAGTGGGCAAAATCTGATATGTAGCGGGGAAAAAAAGAAGAAAGAGTTCATCAGACGCTGGATTCGAACAGAGTTCATGCTCGAACGTGTTCAAACATGTTGACAAACGTTTTACGAGCTGCGCCACTGAGACTACAAAAGATTTTGCAACATTTTACACCTATAAATCACACTATTTCTTTTTTAATTCACTCAGTGCGATGTTCAGACCCAACTGTGTTAACCGCATCAGCTAAACTCTACCCGCTCTATTTATTTCTTTTGTTGTTAATTCCGGAGGACAAACTTGTAAATAACACCGCTTTTCTCCGGTCTACCTCTGAAAGCAGCACCTCACATTCACATTCTGTTCAAAGTTTCTCTTCTTGCTTGCTTTTGCCGTTGCTTTTTCGTTGGGTTTTGCCAAAGTAGAGTCATTAGCATATTCATACGGGGGAGGAGGCAGGGAGGGGTTTTGTGCTCGTGCATGTTGCGCTCAGTTTCACGTTCATTCAGATGTACAAAAGAATATGCGTGAGATTCGGCGTACGCAGTGTTTCATACATCTGAATTTTTTTCTTTTTTTTCTGTGCGTACGCAATGTTTTAGTAAGATTTCCACGCAAGTCTTCGTACATGAGGCCCCTGGTCTTGCAATACGAAATAGAGTCAGGTCTGGATTGAATACCTCGCGGCCCGGATCCAGACCGGATTCTGGACTTTGAGAAGCCCTGGTTTAGACACTGATGAGTAGATGATGAATGTTCACTGTTTGATGACTGAAATCTCCAAATGACCTTAAATAATAACTAAATCACTACAGAATGTTACGTTTACACATCCCTGCACAAACTGCATCAGCCTTCCACAGTGTAGCACTCACTACTCTTGAGTACCTTTTAAAAGGGCTACTTTCTACTCTTACTTTGATCTTTACTCTACTTGCACTCATTTTTTGATGATAACCCCTGTGTGTGTGTTCTTACCTTGTGCGTCAGTGTGTGTTGTTTGAGATGGTGCGACTGCACGAACTCCATCCCGCACTCGCTGCAGATGAACGGCCGGATGTCCTTGTGCTTCATCATGTGGTTCTGCAGCTGACTCGGGTACTGGAAGCTCTTCCCGCACTCGCTGCAGGCATACTGCACGGGCCCGCGGTGCGCCGTCAGATGCCGCTTCAGCTGCGCCAGCGTGGGGAAGTCCAGTCCGCACTCCACACACACGTTCTCCTGTCCGCGCTCGTGTTTGAGCTCGTGCGCTCGCAGCTCGCTGGGATACGCGAAACCCCGTCCACACACACTGCAGCTGTACGGCTTCACATCGCTGTGCTGCATCATGTGCCTCTTCAGGTGACTGGTCTGCGTGAAGGCCTTGTGGCACACCTGAGACACAGCAAAGGTGCAGGTACACTGTGAAAATGCCTGTCTTACGATAAGTTTGAGCAATTCAATTCAAGCACTGTAGAAAATAGCTTGTCAGATTTAAGTTTTTGTCTTGTTTATAGTCCAAAACAGTTTTACAGTCTGTTTCTTCCACATCTCCTCCTCTTTCTGTTGTGTTCTGATGTGATTTTTAACTGTTAAATAACTCTAATCATTAGCCTACATCAGGGGTCTCAAACTCGCGGCCCGCAGGCCATTTGCGGCCCTCAGTGCAATATTTTGTGGCCCGCGCCGACCGCTGTACTCTGACAGAATCAGCGGAGCGGGGAGAGAGAGCGCTGATTCTATCCGTACACAGCGCGCTTGTCACTCAATGCGCGTTGTCGCGCGCGTTCTGATCAGCGGTGTTATCGCGCGCCTACTGAAGGGCGGGACCGAGGGTGTGTCGCATCGCGGGGGCACTTTTGATCATTTTGGAAGGGCACTTTCTATTCAAGACTAAAAAGGGCATGTGCACTGCACAGGTTGAGCCCTATGTGTGCACGTGTCTGCCCTGCATCTTATATATTTTATCAGCCTGATCTCACGAGAAAACGTAAGTATTTTACGTTTTGCCAGTTTAGTGGCTAATTCGTACGAATGGTACGATTTTTAAAAGGAGGCGTGGCACCTGACCCCACCCCTAACCCCAACCGTCATTAGGGGATAAGCAAATCGTACTAAATTGTACGAATTAGATCGTACAAATTCATACGAATTAGCCACTAAATGAAAAAGTTAAAAATTGCCGTGAGATTGTGTTGATATTATAGGTAGATACAGACTGGTACAGACTGATGTGACTGGAGTGGGGTGGGGGTGTTTTATTTATACATATATACGCCTTTTTTTTGGTGAGGGAATGGAAGTTTTGAGTGAGTTCCCCCACTTTTTTCCCTAGGACTTCAATAAAAAGTACAGGTCTAGACTTAATGATGATCATCTTCAAGCCATACTGAGGGTCTCAACTGCTTCCGCTCTAAAGCCAAATGTGGTTCAGATTTGTGAGAAGAAGCGCTGTCAAGTCTCTGGCAGCAAGAAGTAGGCAAAAGATGCCATGTTCAGAAGAACTGTTCATAATCTTCCCTCAATGTTCTGTTAATGTTCAGGACACTTCATGTTCAGAAGAAATAATTAAAACTGTTAATAATGACATTTGAGGACTTTTTTGTGAAATCCCTTATGCGGCCCAGCCTCACCCAGACTTTGCCTCCTGCGGCCCCCAGGTAAATTGAGTTTGAGACCCCTGGCCTACATAGTGCGCTTAATACCTGTCGGAACTACTTTGCTGTGACAATCTGACAAAAAAACAAACACCTTAGAACGATCATCAGCCAATCAGAATCCAGCATTCAACAGGCCTGTAGTATAAATGTTAATAATGAATACTTTTTCTACCAGATTAGTTTTTTCTGGTTATTTTGTGTTTCATTCGGATCAATATTTAAAAAAAAAATAAGTGTAAAGTGAAATAATGATAGTGATATGGGGCTGTAATGCACTCAAAACCTGCCGGAACTACTTTGTCTGTGTGTTTAACTGAAAATAACAGCACACCTTGGAATGTCAATCAGCCAATCAGAATCAAGCATTCGACAGACTTGTAGTTCAAATAAAGGATAACTGACTCTCTCCAAGTAAATTCTTACAAAATATTAAGCTCTCATAAATAAACATGCTCATCAGCCAATCAGAACAGTACAGTATAATCACAGTCACTCCATACTGACCTGGCACTTATGCGGTCTGGTTCCCTGGTGTGTGAGCATGTGCGTGTGCAGGTGGCTCAGCTGCTTGAAGAGTTTCCCGCACAGACTGCAGGCGTGCGGTTTGATCCCGCTGTGGCCCAATATATGCGTGATCAGGTTGTATTTAGAGGTGTAGGATTTCTCGCACATCCGACACTTCCAGCGTTTCTGATCTCCTCCCACATCCACATAGTAGCTGTCGTCTACATGCACGTTCAGCTTCTCAGGCCCGTCCGGAGGCCTGCGGTGCACACGGAAAGGCTCGCTGGGGTAGAAAGGGTTCGGGGAGAGATTTGGGACGGAGCCGGGAAGCAGGAACGGGAACGGGACGAGGCTGGGGTGGAATGGAGGGAAGTATGGAGCTGGAGAGCGGAGGAGGAGTGGAGATGGAGGCCACAGCGGCAGCTCCTGCTTCACCTGCACTGTATAAAAACGTAAACTTTACTGTAAACCAACAGCAGCTGTGTTTGCCAGTGTTTTACCTGTGCATCAACTAGAACCGCATCAAAGCAATCCAGAAAAACTATCATACACAAATAAGTAAGTATTAACATCTACACATAATTTCTTTGTTACCGTTATCTTTGGGAAAATGTGCCCAGGGCTACATTTTTTGAGAACTTAGACATATGTGCTTGCGGATACATGTGGTTGCATTTTGTGTGTAAAATGAATGATACGGGCAGATACCGCTTACCTCTGTATGAAACGGCTTTTCTGGCATGACTGGTTTGCTTAGTAGTTCACCGCAAACGGCGCTAGATTTGAGAGGCGGGAGTGATCTCCACTCAGGTTCGGGGAGAGATTCGGAATGGAGCGTTCAGGCAAGAACAATAAAACAACCCCAAAACAGCATTGTAACGTTGTGGTTAAAGCATGCAACTGCGATGGTTTTTCTTTTACTTTGCTTTTGAAAAACTATGGATTGTGCTTAGGGAAGGGGATGTGGGTCAGTCCATAACAAGCTGATATATTGGGCTCTATTTTGACGGTCCATGCGCAGAGCGCAAAACGCAGGGAGCAAACGCTTTCAGGGCGTGTCAGGACGCGTTTCTGCTAATTTAAGGACAGGAAAACCTGCTTTGCGTCGTGGCGCGTGGTCTAAAAGGGTTTAGTTTATTCTCTTAATGAGTTATAGGTGTGTTTAGAGAATAAACCAATCAGAGTCTCATCTCCCATTCCCTTTAAGAGCCAGCTGTGTCGTACCATAAGCGCATTCGCTATTTACAGGACGCAAAGTAAGTCTAAGTGGAAAAACTGAGCATTTCACAAGCAAACAGTTCACAGTTTTTTAACAGAAAACTGTTAAACAGAGCATCTACTGCGTGAGAATGAGAGATAATGGATCTACTTTCGCTTTCGCTCTTGGATAGGGAAACCTTTACGCACAGACATCAATTAGCCTATAAATAATTAATTTTGTTTGTTAAGCTCAAATATTTGTTTCAAAACTATTTCTAAATTCAGTTCAGTTTCCAGCAAACGAATAAATAAACAATAATAACAAAAGTGCTCAAACACCTGAGTTATATCCTAAAACACATGCTGTGCCCCATATGGTCTAAAACCTGACAGGTGGGCAAATCTAAGCTTGTTTTTAATAAAACAAATATAAATATGGATATAATAAATAATACTGCTAATAATAATAACATTATACAAAAGCAGATTGTTATGAATGAACTGAAAAAGCCTCCCGAGGTGAAGAAGACATAAAAGCAGTGATTTTTCATATTTATGTAGGCTAGAAAATAATTTGTTTTGTAATATTTTAATCTTTATATTTATATCCTATATCTATTCTTATTATGTCCTATATATATCCTTAATATTTACATTTTTTCATATGTAAAGATATTTGCCTATTGCTCTCTTGTGTGTATTAAGCAGTGTGTAAGCGAGGCGCAACTCTGCGCTGGAGTTTAGACCGGGTTAGTTTTGGTCTAATGAAAAATCTATTATAGTTTCTCAAAATAGCAACGCGCCAGCGGTCTGCCTCAGAACGCCTTCCTTTTTAGAGCAGAACGCCTATGAGTGCACAAATGAGCGCTAATGCATTTGCTATTTAAACAGCATTGCGCAACGCCTCAAAACCACTCTTGCGCCAAGCTGAAACTACCAAAGACTATTGCGCCGCGTCTTGCGCCACACTGCGCCGGGTGTATGATAGGGCCCATTATGTTTCTCTCACATATGCACACCAGAAAGATTTACAAGAAATGGCACTTATGAGACAATTCTGTATGAAAGAGTGTCAGAAATGTACACGGCGCCCTCTAGCGGATTTATGAATACAAAAACTGCAAGAAAATGTAGTCCAGGGTAGTCCATATTTCTCAGTTCTCTAAAAATTTAGCCCTGGGCACATGATAAAACTGGGTTGTTTGTTACAAAAAAACACAACCAATTTATTTTGCAGTGTAAAGTGCAGGGAATTCCCAGTTTGATCTCACGAGAAAACGTAAGTATTTTACGTTTTGTCAGTTTAGTGGCTAATTCGTACAAATTCATATGAGTTCAGTCGTACGAAATTGTACGATTTTAAAAAGGAGGCGTGGCACCTAACCCCGCCCCTAAACCCAACCGTCATTAGGGTATGAGCAAATCGTACTAAATTGTACAAATTAAATTGTACAAATTCATACGAATTAGCCACTAAATCAAAAACTTACGAATTGCCGTGAGATCGCGTTGGAATTCCGGGTCCATTTACAGTTATTCATTGTATACATGTACTGTTAACCAGCTTACAGTAGTAAACATTTTACTGTAGCATTTCGTCAGTTTTTTTTACCATTGAAATCCCGTCCATTTTTGACAGTGTGCAGCACACGGTGCAGACGCAGCCGGCTGAGGTCGATCATTTCTGGCGTGAATCGGTGAGGATGAGGAAATACAGGATGATGAGGAGGAAGAAGAGCCAGATCTACACTTCTGCTGCTCGCGTCTTCTGAACGCTTGCTCTCCGACGAGTCCATGATCACGATTTCTGGATCATCAGACTATCATCTCCATCAGCTGTGGAGGAGAACAACATGGAGAGCAGGTTACTGAAATGGGCACGTGCACATTACTTTGCATTTAAAGTTGGAGAGAAAATTATAAAATGTTTATAATAAAATGTTCATTGTATGACACTACGCAACTTTTGAAGTGTTAGGAAAGTTACAGTAGGTTAATTAAGCAAGTCATTGTAAAACAGTTTTTTTCTGTAGATATTAAGTCGGAAAGAAAACAAATATTCTTACACTGCAAAAATGCTTTTATTTTGTTTTGATGAGATTATTTAAAGGCGGAACATTGGCTCAGTGGTTAGCACTGTTGCCTCACAGCAAGAAAGTCGCTGCTTCGAGTCCCGGCTGGGTCAGTTGGTGTTTCTGTGTGGAGTTTGCATGTTCTCCCCGTGTTGGCGTGGGTTTACGTAGTAATTTAATAGTAATAAACTTGTTTGTACTACAAATGTTTGTTTAATATGGGTTGTATAGTAGTGTTCCACTGTAGTATATAGACAGGCACAGCTAATTGAGTTCTGAAAAAGCCAAACAGGCTCGACCCACCTGTTTACTGTAGTAAAAACCACTTTCTATATTCTAGTGCATTTTTTGTTTCCATGTATTAAATAAATAAACTGCCACTTTTCTAACTAAATGACATATAAATATTTATTTAAACTTGCAGGCTAATTCACACATTTCACAATCTGAAAGATAATAATAAACGTGTATTTTTTTAATACTAGACAGCACAATGTTTCTGTCTCTGTCAGTGACAGAGTGACAGATTAAATGAGTACATTCTCTAAGTGTGTTTAATCCTTTCTGTGAAAGACTGTGTATACAGTCACGAATACAGCCCCCCTAAAATAGGCCTAGTGACACCCATGTACTGAAGGATGCTGCCATTGACTTCCAAAGTATTTTTATTTCTACTATGGATATCTCTCTTTCATTTATTTTCCTTAAGCTTAGTCCCTTATTGCTTAGTCCCACAGTGGAAGGAACTGCCTACTATTCCAGCGGATGCACATCCAGCCAAAACCCAGCACTGGGAAACACCCATACACACTCATACACACACACACACACACACACACTCATACACTACGGCCAGTTTAGTTCATCAGTTCCCCTATAGCGCATGTGTCTGGACATGGAGGAAACTTACACCAACACTGGGAGAACATGCAAACTCCACACAGAAACACCAACTGACCCAGCCGGGACTCGAACCAGCAACCTTTCCAGCATTCTTCAGAATATATTGGTTGTTTTTCAACAGAAGAAAGGAAACCATATAAGTTTACCACTACTTCAGTGAGTAAATGATGAGAAAATTCAGATTTTTGAGTGCACTGCCCCTTTAGGGCTGATTTCAGGTTCCTCCAGATTTCAGATTCGCAGGTTTTATTGTGTTTTCTCGTTTCACAGACGGATCCATCAGTAATTCTTCCTCTCTGCTGTTCCTCTGTGCTTGCTTTTCACAGCATTCAGATCAGAACTTCTCTTTTTGTTATTACAAGGCATCATTTAAACACAATGCAGTCTGATTTATGGCAGAGTTTGCAAATCACATATTTAATATACAGTTCAGGGTAACATTTCACATATAAAAATAACTAATTTACTTATTTCTAATAGCTGATTTTTTTTATCTTTGCCATGATGACAGCACATAATATTAGGCAAGGCAAACTTTATTTATAGAGCACAATGAGATAAAACATTTAAGAAAATAAAATAAATAAAACTTGTATTAAAAAGTGTAAGAAAAGAATATATGTATGTGTATATGTAATAATAAAATACAGATGGAGAAATTACATGTACGAGTCACTCAAAGGCAAGGCAGTAAAATATGTCTTTAAGTTAGATGTAAAAGTATCCAAGGATGGAGAAATCCTGATGTTTATCGGGAGACTGTTTCAGAGACTTGGGGCCGCAACACAGAAAGCTTGATCTCCTTTTGATTTGCAGCGAGACCGAGGGATCAACAAAAGAAACTGATCATGGGACCTTAATGGTCTACAACAGGGCTGCTCAATGCTGTTCCTGGAGAGCCACCTTCCTGCAGATTTCAGTTGCTACCCATATCAAACACACCTGCCTGTAAATATCACGGGGTGTTCAGGTCCTAATTAATTGGTTCAGGTGTGTTTGAAACGGGTAGCAGCTGAAATCTGCAGGAAGGTAGATCTCCAGGAACAGGATTGAGCAGCCCTGGTCTACAAGCTGTATATGGCCTAACAAGCTCGCTGACATAAACCGGAGCAGAATTGTGCAAAGCTTTATATGTAAAAAGAAGGATTTTAAAATCAACTCTGAATTTTATAGGAAGCCAGTGTAAGGAGGCGAGGACAAGGGAGATATGATCTCTTTTCTTAGTTCCTGTTATCAATCTGGCGGCTGCATTCTGGACCAACTGTAACTGAAAGAGTGTTGACTGAGGTAGACCAATGTACAAGGAGTTGCAGTAGTCCAACCGAGAGGAGATTAAAGCATGGGTCACAGTTTCCAGATCTTTGTTAGACTAGATAAATTAGTATTTAGCTTAAAGTGACATTTAAAGGCTTCACTAGGGTAATTAGGGTGAAGTTTGGGTAATTAGGCAAGTTATTGTATAACAGTGGTTTGTTCTGGAGACAATCCAAAACTAATATTGCTGAAGGGACAAATAATATTGACCTTAAAATGGGTTTTTATATATATAAGTGCTTTTATTACAGCTATTCTAAAAGATGAGACTTTACCCAGCATCAATTTTTTTTTTTATAGGAAATACTGTGTATTGTATAGTTTCCTGAGTCTGTTAAACATAAAGAAAAGAATAAAAATTTCACAGGAGGGTGAATAATTTTGCCTTCTGAATAAATCTGCATCTTTTATCAATGCAAACATGACGTGATGTGCAAATCACATGAGGATAGTGATTTACGAGCATGTGAATTACCTGTTCAATGCTGGTGTTTCTGTCAGATGTAAAGCAGCAGCTGATTGTTGAGTTAGTTTTCTTCGCTCTGAGCTGGATGAGTTTTTTAATGGCCATAATATACACTCAAAAAATGTATATATAGTTAAAGTAAGAATTATTAGCCCTCCTGTTTAATTTTTTCCCTACTTTCTGTTTAACGCAGGGACACATTTCTAATCATGCTAGTGTTAATAACTCATCTCTGATCAACTGATTTATTTTCTCTTTGTCATGATGACAGCAAATAATATTAGACTGGATATTCTTCAAGACACTAGTATACAGCTTAAAGTGACATTTAAAGGCTTCACTAGGGTAATTAGGGTAAAGTTAGGGTAATTAGGCAAGTCATTGTATAACAGTGGTTTATTCTGTAGACAATCCAACACTAATATTGCTGAAGGGGGTTAATAATATTGACCATAAAATGCTTTTTAAAAATCAGGGTCCCCACGCTTTCTGAAAGTACTTGAATTCCAAATGTACGGATTCAAGGCATGTAATGTACCCAAAAACAAACACAGGTTTTTTAATTTGGCAGAATTACAATTGAAATAAAATAGGTTTTTGGTGTTATTTGAACAATTATACTGTGCTGCTGTCAAAAACAGAATTAAAAAAAGTAAAATTAATCATTAATAATTTCATTTAAAGGTTAATTAATTAGCATTCATTTATTTTATTTTCGGCGTAGTCACTTTACTAATCAGGTATTGCCACAGCAGAATGAACCACCAACTTATCCAGCATATGTTTTACACAGTGAATGCCCTTCCAGCTGCAACCCATCAATGGGACACACCCATACACACTATTTCACACACACACACACATACACTACGGCCAATTTAGTTCACCCAATTCCCCTATAGCGCATGTGTTTGGACTGTGGGGGAACCTGGAGCACCCGGAGGAAACCCACGCCAACACGGGGAGAACATGCAAACTCCACACAGAAACACCAACTGACCCAGCCGGAAATCAAACCAGCGACCTTCTTGTTGTAAGGCAACATTTAAATGTTACATTATACATTTAAATCTTGTACAACAACACTAACAAATAATGCGCATTTGATAAATATTTCAGAAACCGCATTGAATACTACATGTTTTATTAAAGTTCTTTCAACATGACTTTAAATTGGCACAGTGTTTAAAAATGACTAAGAAGAGTCTAAATTACTAGTAAGGACCTTCATGGCACTGCGTATGCTGGGGTATGAGTTACAGAGGTGCTTGATTTTATAATTAACGGCGCTTTAAAAAGTCCTTAAAACTGCTGTTTACCAAAGAGACGAAACAAATAATACTACGAAAATTTCCTTAATCCAATTAATATCATTAATTCATTTTCTTTTCGGCTTAGTCCCATAAACCGCCAACTTATCCAGCATGTGTTTTACGCAGTGGATGCCCTTCCAGCCGCAACCCAACACTGGGAAACACCCATACACACTCATTCACACTTATACACTATGGCCAATTTAGTTCATCAATTCCCCTATAGCGCATGTGGTGAAATCCGGAGCACCCGGAGGAAACCCACACCAACACAGGCAGAACATGCAAACTCCACACAGAAACACCAACTGACCCAGCCGAGGCTCGAACCAGCGACCTTCTTGCTGTGAGGCGATTGTGCTACCCACTGCGCCACCGTGACGCCCTGGTAAATATCCCTTGAGAAAAATCCTTTTGCCCTCCACTGTATATATATTATGGCCATAAAAAAATTCCAGTTTGGAACAGAGAAAACTAACTAATTTGACAGAAACACCAGCATTGAACAGGTAATTCACATGCTCGTAAATCACTATGCGATTTGCACATCACGTCATGTTTGCATTGATAAAAGATGCAGATTTCATGTAAAGCCAAGCAATGTTTGGATGCATGAACAGCTGAAGGCAAAATTATTCGCCCTCCTGTAAGATTGTTATTCAGTTTAAATGATGTTTGAAATAAAAAAATGTTTGGATTGCATTTCTTAACTCCTAATGTTGTAGTTAACACACTCAATGCACATCCCATAATTTCTAAAATATCAGCCTCTACCTAATGGTAGATATTATGGTTTATAGTATATGAAATATCATAAAATATAAAGTGCAATATGATATAATATTCAAAATAAAACATTTGTGAGTACTAAATCCTCTTAAAGTATGCCATAAAATATTTCAGATTCTCAATGAACATGTTTTCTTGCTTCTTCTTTCATAATAAAACCAAAATCGAGTGTAGTGGTGCAACAGGACTATGTTTGTTTGATTTTTTTGTGTGTAAACCAACAATGCTGTGTGTGTTATTATTTAAAACAGCCATTACTGAAATTAATTAAAACAGCCAGAACACGCTCAGCTGCTTGGTAGAGAGGCAGTCAAAGGGTTAACAGACCAGGCAAATGTTCACAATATTTCCTATAATATAGTGTTTTCCTCTGGAGAAAGTGTGCTTTCTTTTAGTTCGGCTGAAATAAAAGCAGTTAGATGATTTTAATATAATTTTAGGGAAATAATTGTAACCCTATTTAGTAATATATACTTTGCTTGTCTGCAGAACAAACCACTGTTGCACAATAACTACCCTAATTAACATAATTAACCTAGTTAAGCCTTTAAATGTCTCTTTAAATCTTAATACTAGAATCTTGAAGAATATCTAGTCAAATATTGTGCTGTCATCATGATGAAAACAAAAGAAATGAGTTAGAAATCAATTAGTAAACCATATGTTGGCAAAATCTCTCCATTAAACCACACTTTTATTTTAAATATATTTATATTTAATTTATTTTAAAAAGAATTCAAATTTCATATGAGAACTGTTCACATTTTGAAGTCATATAACTGTCTTTGCATGTGATATGTAATGCTCTGAGCAGATCATATGCAGATTTGCATGTGTGCATTGGTAATTGCAGTGTGTGCATGTGTGTGTGTGTGTGTCTTACCTGTCGTCTCCTGCTCGTCTCTCCTCTCTCTACGCGCCTCCAGCTTCACACTCCGCATTTGAAGTGACTTAAGAAAGAGAACAGGAACAATCACTTTGTTCTCATTTTTCAGATGAGTACCTTCGCAGAGAAGGAAGGAAGGGAGGGAGAGGAAGTCAACAAGCCTGTGCTTTCCTGACCCAAAATAAGGAAACACTAGATACACATCTCCATTCCTCTTCGAAACACTGAAGCTGACGCTGGAGAGACCAGATCAGACACTGAACGTATGATTTCTGATGATGACCTTTGACCTTTACTCATAATTAGGCCCAGATGGAATCTGAGCGCTTGCAGAAATCTGAAATCAACTCTGAATCTGTTTATTTACTTATAAAAATGTGTGTAAATAATTACAGACGTGGACTAAATAGTTTTTTTGTGTTTTATCTAGTTCAAAATATCAACAAATTCTTAAATCAAGAGGCATTTTCTGGACAAGTAAAAAATATTGCTTTGTTTTTAGAAATAAAGAGTCGAAATTAAGTGAAATTTTTTATGTGTATATATCAGCGCTGTCAAAATTAGTGCGTTAACGCATGCAAATAATTTTAAATAATTAACGCGTTAAAAAATTAACGCAATTAACGCAGTTCCAGGTTTTTTTTTTACTTCCTGTTGTGGTGGACGTGAGTTCAACATGCAAGATATGTGGATAAGACCAAGGAAGCACTTTTTGAAGGCAAGTTCCAGTATAAAACAATTAGTCGCATCACAGGTTATCCAGAGTTTCATGCAATTTCGGGTGTTTCATTTTTAACTTTCGACTTCTGTTGTAAGTTGATACCGCATGGCGAACAGAAAGAAAATCCACCGCATTTCGTGACTCGGTGTTCCTTTAAGGAAATAAAATCGCTGCTTAGGCTCAGGGCCGGAGCAAGCTGAACTGCCGCTCTAGGCAGAGGATGATCACGCCGCCCTCAACCCCAATGTGAAAACGAAAGTGACCGGTTATGAAAATGAAGTGAGGTGTCGCGGCCCTCTATTCCAGCGCACTATGCACAGATATAACTGAGGACGCGCGGGTGCTGAGGGAGGGAGTGAGGGAGGTGTCGCGGACACTGCGCTCTCAATTCTGCCGCCCTATGCGCGGATATAAATAAGGACATGCAGGTGCTGATGGAGGTGTCGCTTACGCCGGCTTCTCAATTCTGTCGTCTATGCGCGAATATATCTGAGGACGCTGGTGGTGGGGGAGGTGTCGCGGACATAACTGAGGACGCAGGTGGTAAGGGAGGTGTCGCGGATGCCGCCCTCTCTATACTGCCGCCCTAGGCGGCCGCCTAGGTCGCCTCTATGGATGCGCCGGCCCTGCTTAGGCTACACGGTAGAATTTTCATAAGAGTATAATCTTAATCATATTAAAATCGGAGTATTGGTGTCGTATGTGAATGTACTCAGAAAGTCTCTGGTGAAGTCGCGAGCTGTCAAAGACAGGGCATTACTCTGCCTTTCAGCATGAGCCCTCCAAGTTTAGCGTGTTTCCTCATTAGACGCAATGAAAGCGTATGCGTCGCGATGTTGTGTCAGAATCCTTGTGAAATACAGTAATACTTTAGGACGCTTAGTTTAAGCAAATTTGATGAACGTGATCATGCGTGTTGAGTCTGAAGGGAGTCGCTCCAGCGCGTTGTGTGTGTGTCTGTGTGTGTGTGTGTGTCAGGCTCGTTGAGGGGTGTCAGGGGTGGAGTGAGCGGCGTATCTGAGTAGGGGCGTGTGCACGAGAGACATACCTGAAGGAAGGTGGGGGTGAGTTGAGCGTGACATACCTGAAGAGCTAGGAGGGATGGGGGGAAGAGGGATGGGCAATGTATATAACGACCGGTTTGCGGTTGTTGCTAGAGCGGATATGTTTGCGGCCGGAAGTTAACGCAAATTATTTCTATTATTTATTAAATTTCTCATTTGTTGTATTTTATTAACGTCTACCCCCACCCCAACCCTAAACCCAACCGTCACAGTAATGTAAAAACTGTAGTTGTACCGAGTATTAGTTATGTTATCTATTAAATTACCCAATAAAATGTATTTTTAACGCCTACCCCCACCCCAACCCTAAACCCAACCCTCACAGTACTGTAAAAATATTATTATTGTTATACAGTGTCAAAAAAAAATGCTGCTTTAATAATGTGCATATTGCACTTCCGGCCAGCCGCATATCCGATCTAGACTTTACCCCGGTTTGCGAGAGATTATCCTTCATCTGCGGGCATTTGGGAGTCTCTCTGCACTTGCGGGATACTCCTAGTCTTAGCAACTGGATGAATGTAAAGGAGGATTAAGCAAAATTGTTTCTACTCTATAATTAATGTTCTCAACTCACAGCAATAAAACTTTACAATGAGTGAAACAGTTTGTATTCTATAGTTTATTATTATAATTTTTCATTTTTCATATCTGCAGTTCCTGTATTTTGGCATTTTTTTTGCAGTCCACTTAGAATCCAACATGGAAATCAATGTTTTCTCTATTGGCATTGATTGTTTTGAAATTTTAATGTCATTAACATGCCTGTGTTTTAATTTCTGTAATAAATATGGCTGTCAAGCAGGATCTTGATGGTTTATTGTGGGTTTGTTGTTTACATGAAGAAATCTGTGTTACAAGCTAAACAAAATTCTATTAAACAATTATATTTTGAATTTAAATAGTTTTTGTCTTGCGTTTATATTAGTTTTACATTAAAATAGCCAAAATTACAAGTTTCAGTATTTTAAATGTGATTAATCGCGATTCATTTTTTTTTTAAAGGTGCGATTAATTAGTTAATTTTTTAATCGATTGACAGCACTAATATATATATATATATATATATATATATATATATATATATATATATATATATATATATATATATATATATATATATATGTATATACAACAGTTCTGTGAGGTTCTCGAATCTGATTGGCTGATAGCCATAATATATTTAAGTAATATCAGCACCTGTACAGCCTCTTTACCCTTTGTGTATTACTCCGCCCACATACAGCCAGCAAAAAGCAGACACTACAGATCTACAGTGTAAAAGATGCACGCTCAACTGTTTACCTGTCAGCTTATGATTTCAATCCAATGCGGAAGAAAAGTAGTTCCTCATACAAAAGGGTTTTTGAGACTCTCCATGTTTGATTTAGTTTTTATAAACACAAATATGCCGTCAAACTGTTGTATAAACGCAATATCCCACTCGTAGCAGAGCGATATGGCTGCATATCGACACTGGTTGGGGCACTAAGGGTTGGGACTGGTTGGGACACAACGCACGCCTCCCACCAGTGCCGATATACAGCCATATATGTATGTATAGAACAGTTCTGTCTGGTTCTTGATCCTGATTGGCTGATAGCCGTGCAGTATTCTACAATAACAGCACTCGTACTGCCTCTTCACCCTTGTGATTTACTACGCCCACATAGAGTGACAGCAGATCATCAAACTCATTACAGTGTGACAAATATTGCAGCTGTTTGACAACATCATGTACTGTTCAGGCTTTTTTAGGTGAGAATGTAGTTGTTTAGACTGCAACTATGCAGTTTATTTATGAGGATAGAGCATTCAGCTCATCTATCAGCCTGTCAAACTAACAGTGGTGGAAAGAGTACTGAAAAATCATACTCAAGTAAAAGTACAATTACTTGCAGAAAAATGTAGTGCAAGTAGAGTAAAAGTATCTGTCGTAAAAATTACTCAAAGTATGAGTAACAAGTAGGCATTTTAAAAGTACTCAGGAGTAGTGAGTAGTGAGTATTACGCCATAAAAAGTCTATTTTCATTTACATGCAGTTTGTGCAGTGATGTGTAAACAAAACATTCTGTAGTGCATTTAGTAATCTTGTTCCTTCCAACTTTCTTCCATTGTTTGTTTGTTCTGTCCTTCCTTCATTCTTTAATTTGTTCATTCTTTCATTCATTTGTTCGCTCATTCATATTTTTGTTCCTCCCTTCATTAGGGTCCTTTGTTCATTCCTTTCTTAGTTTGTTCAGTTCTTCCTTGAATCCTTACTTCATTCATTTTGTCTTTTGTTTGTTCGTTCGTTTTTATTTTTGTTTCTTTCTTAATAAGGACCCTTGTTCATTCCTTCCTTCATTCGTTTGGTCCTTCCTTCATTCGTTCATTCATTCATAGTTTTGTTCCTTCCCTCATTAGGCCCTTCGTTCGTTCGTTCGTTCTTTAGTTTGTTCAGTCCTTCCTTGAATCCTTCCTTTATTCAATTGGTCCTTCCTTCCTTCATTAGTTCAGTCCTTCCTTCCTTCGTTCGGTCCTTCCTTCCATTTTTCATTTGTTCCATTTAGTGATTGTTTAAGGAGGCTGTTTGGTTATTTCAGTCATCATACAGTCGACATCCTTTTTTTTTTTTTTTTACAGTCGACATCTATTTTCTCATCAGTGACATCTATTAAAAGTCTGTGTGTCAATGTGTGTAAATATTTTGAACATCTTTTTGGGCATTTTTAATGCTTCTAAAAGGTTTGCTGCATTTTTAAAGCGCCCATGTGTTGATGTTGTTCAGTATCATGTGATTTACTTTCTACGTGCGATTTGATTGGACAGGAATCACAGGACTGATTGTTCTACTTTAGCCAAACACCATAGACAAGAAAGAAATAATGTAGTGACTGCAGGATGAAGGACAGTAGTGGAGTAAAAGTACCAATACTGCAGTAAACATGTACTCAGGGAAAAGTAAAAGTACTAGGGATGTAACGGTATCAGAATTTCACGGTACTGTAATACCTCGGTATGAATGTCATGGTACGGTATTTATTGAATCATTTACAGGAAAAAACAAAACTTATGAAAATACTCCAAAAAAGAACCAAAAGTGTCAATGACATACAAATTAGCCATCTATCTGTAAGCTTTAAAACAGGAACTTCAATTTTAATAACAAAAAAATATTAAACCATGTAAAAAAATAAAGTTTCAATTTAGTATTGTTGAAAACTCATCTCATTCAACATTTAATCACTCACTCACTTAGATAGAGATGGGTTTTAAGGAAAATGATCATATAAATATAATCTGGTAAAAGCTGGTATCTCTGGGTATTTACAATGTCCCCTGCAACAGAGAAAACCCTCTCATTTGGGACTGAGGTTTCTGGGACAAGAGAGATATGACTTGGCCCAGGTTGACAGCAGTGGGGAACGTTGTGCATTGTCTTTCCCCCACTTGAGAGGACAAACCATGAGTGAGATAGA